GCGGTTCGAGGAACCCAGGCCTGCAGCCAGCACAGAACACCCGCCTGGACCAGGCTGTGCCACCTGCCCAGGCAGAGGAGACCACAGACAGCGGCAGTTCCTCAGACAGCAGCGACGAGGAGGCACCCAAGCAGCCCCCCAAACCTGGTAAGTTGTCCCAAGAAGATGCTCTCAGTGCTGCTGGCCAGGCCAGGGTGGGGACGGTGTTTTGGTACACTGTGGGAGGTGTGTCACCTTCACATAGTGGTTGGAGAGCTTGGTAGGACACTCTGCTTTCTGTGTAGGCAGAAGGCCTTTTGGTGGCATTAACTGTGCTGGGTAGGTGGGCTCAGCCCCAGGCAGCAGTGGTGGGTTTAATGGGATGAACTCTGCTCCTTCAGCAGGCTCACTGCAGAAACCAGGAGGCACCCAAGCAGCCCACAGCTCCTCCTCAGAGTCCAGTGAGGAGGAGGAGGAGGAGGCAGCAGCATCACAGGTATGGTAGCTGAGCAGGATGGGATCCTCTTGGGTCTTGCAGCTGGCTCTTAAGTAGCACAGAGAGAGGATTGAATTGTCAGCACAGACGTGGGGGCTCCCCAGTGCAGTGCTGTGATCAGGGCTCTTTTGGTGAGGGCAGAGAAGCTTTTGAACCTGGAATGCTTCCCCAGGCAGCCGGGCCTTGGATCCAGGGCTCATGGTGCCTTCCTTGGGGGAAGGGGATGGGAGGAGGTGGTCCCTTGCAAGGGTTAATCCAGGAGAACTGGTGTGCAGTGCCAATAGCAGCAGGATTTCTTTATCCACATTTATTTGTAACTTAACCCATGTCCAAGCCATTAAATTGCCTTTGTGAGTAACGTGTGGGGCGTGCAGCACATCTGCAGTGCATTAGCTATGCATGGGTGCATGCTAACGGCCAGGAGCCTCCCCCAAGCTTCATTTACTAGGCAAGAACAAAGAGGAGAACCTCTGGCCTTCAGCTCTTGCTGCTGTGAGCTCAGCCAGTGTCTGTCAGTGCTGGCCCCTCTCCTGGCAGCCCCAGCCCCTCTGCAGGATTGACTGAACGGTGCAGGATCTCTGCAGGTGGCCAAAGGTGGGCTCTTCACTTGCAGTACAGGAGCAATAGCAGGGAGAGATCTGCATGTCTGGTGTGTAGGAGGCTGCTCTGCTGTGACTCTTCAGTGTGTCTGTGCTGTTTCAGTCCCTCCTCACAGGCTATTCGGGCACCCCCAGGACCCCAGCAACACCCCAGACACCAAAGACCGTTCCCCTCCAGGCTGTGGGCAAAGCAGGGCAAGCGAAAGCAGCCGTGACTGCTGCCAACTCCCTCAGCAAGGCCCCTGTGAAAGCAGCCCCGGCCAACAGCTCCAGCAGTGACAGCAGTGACTCTGACACAGACGTGGACCAGGTGGCTACAAACCACAAAGCAGGTGGGTCTCCTTTGGCAAGGGCTGGAACCTGCCTGCCTGAGGAGCAAAGCGGTGCTGGCACACGAGGGTGACACTGGGACAGGGCCCTGCTCCCAGCGTGTCTCCACCGCAGAGCCCAGCAGTGCGGAGCGCTGCTGCCGTCTGCTGGCTTCCCCTGGCCACAGCACAGCCTTCTCCTCCTTGGATGCCCCCCTAGATGTTCCTCTTCACATGCATGCTTCCATCCTCCAGTAACTCTGTGGTCTATGCAATGAATGCTCCCTGAGCTGTCTTCTCTCTATTGTCGCTGTTTCTGCAGAGAACAACCCTCCTCCTCCAGGGCAGGAAGCCACAGGAGCCTCCAACAAAGAGAAGGTGGCAGGAAAAATGGAGCCAGGTCATGCCAGCCTCAAGCCTTCCCCAGTCAAGAAAGCCCTGGCTGTGAAAGAGAATGATGTTGGGGCAAAAGGTGCACAAATGACCCCAGCATCATCTGCGCTGTTCTCCGTCCCACAATCAGAGGAGTCAAGCTCGGGGAGTGAAACTGAGATCGCTGCTGGCAAAGTTCCTCCAGTGCAAAAACCAGTGGAAGGGCTGGAAGGGAAGAAGAAGAAGAAAAGGGAGAAAAAAGAAAAGAAGGAAAGGAAGAAACCTTCCTCCACAGCAGACAAGGCTGTGAAAGCATCTAAAAGCAAAGACAAAGAGAACAAGAAACAGAAAACATCTCAGAAGCGGAAACATCCGGGAGAGGTTGGGGCTGTTGGGCAGCCCAAGGAGAAGAAGCGGAAAGTGCCAGCTAATGAAGAGGTACCCAAAAAGAAAAAGAAGAAAGCAGCTGGAGAGATGGAGAAGTTGCCAGGCAGCAAGGAAAAGAAAAAAGCAGCTAAAAGTGAGCATCTAGGGCTGCATTTGCTATAGGTTTTTGCAGCTGTGAGTAGCACCCGCTTTCCCATTAGCTTCCTGCTTGGCTACATCCCTTTTAGAATCACAGAGTCATTTAGGCTGGAAAAGACCTTTGTGATCTTCAAGTCCAACTGTGAACCCAGCACTGCCAAGCCCACCACTAACCCATGTCCATAAATGCCACATCTACACATCATTATTTTTCCTAATAATCCAGTCTGCACCTCCCCTGGCGCAGCTTGAAGCCATTTCCTCTTGTCCTGTTTCTTATTACTTGGGAGAAGAGACTGACCTCCACCTCACTACAACCTCCTGTCAGGCAGTTGTAGGGAGTGATCAGGTCCCCCCTGAGCCTTCTCTTCTCCACACTAAACCCCCCAGGTCCCTCAGCCCTTCCTCATCACACTTGTGCTCCAGGCCCTGCACCAGCTCCGTTGCCCTTCTCTGGCCCCGCTCCAGCACCTCAATGTCTCTCTTGTAGTGAGGGCCCAGAGCTGACACAGGATTCGAGGTGCAGCCTCACCAGTGCCCAGCACAGGGGAACAGTCACTGCCCTGGCCCTGCTGCCACACAGGTGCTGATACAAGCCATAATGCTGTTGGCATTCTTGGCCACAAGCTGGCTCATGTTCAGCCTCCTGTCAACCAACACCCCAGGTCCGTTTACGATGGGCAGTTTTCCAGCTGCTCGTGGCCCACCCAAAGCCAATGCCAGGTTTCTAACGTCTCACTTCAGTGTTTTTCTGCAGTCTCAGCACCAGGTCGTGTTGCAGACAGCAAATTGTACTGTCCTGCCCCTCTGTCCTGGGAGAGGCCTTGCTGGTTGTAAGCCACAAGGGCTGTGTTGTGCCAACTACGTGGTGCCCTGCTCTGTGTCTGCAATGCAGAACAGCTCTGCTAAGCCAGCTCCCTGCCCTGGCTCCTCTTTGGCAAACCACACACACTAACAGAGAGCTGAGGTGCAGTGTGGCTGGGGATGGCAGGCAGAGGGTCCCTGCAGTGCTGTGGGCACGGCAGAAGCAGTCCAGTGTTCATGTGTTGCAGAGCTTTGTGTTAGAGCTTCCTGAACACAGCCCCTTGCTGCCAGCTTCTAAAAGATCAGCCTTGAAATCTGTGCTGTCATTTGCTGTGTCATCTACTGCTGTTCCCTGTGGGGTGACAGTGCCCCTTCCTGGCCCTACCTCAGCAGTGTCTGTGCTGAAACATGATGAGTAGCTCAGTCAAGAGATTTGACTCAGGGCTATTACTGCTGCTTTCAAACCCCTGGAGAAAGAGGAGGATTGTTTCAGCCTCCTGCTCGCTGCTCCCAATTGTTTCCTGCCCCTCTTGCCTGCACACTGCTCTGTAATGCTGTTTGCTGCCCTAATGCAAAGGCAGCTTTCTTTTCTTTGCAGTGCAGACTGCGTTTGCAAATCAGAGCTGGTTCTGTGCTGGATCTTGTAGGCTGTTCAAACAGAGATGGAATGGGAGGGCCAGATCTGCTGGAGTTTCTGTTCCGCAGAGCTGCAGCCCTTCATTTTGGAGGAGACGCACTGTCCATCAGCCCTTGTGTGGGCTGTTGCCCTGGGGGAGCTCTTGGAGCAGTTGTGCTGAGCTGAACCTTGTGTCCATGCTCTGTTAGCAGCTCCCTTGCTCTGATTTCAGGCATTTCTGGCCCAGCTACTCCAGCACTGAAGCGGTTCCTCAGAGGGGTGGGCAGCAGGAGGTGGAAGGAAAGGGATCGTGTAATTCTGCCCACACGTGTGCATGGATGGAGGGATCAAACCACTGTGGGACAGAGGTGCTAGAGAAACAGTCCTGGGTGAGCTGCCTTGTAGCAGGGCTCTGCCCTTGACCAGTTACTGCTCTGGAAAGCTTGCTCAGGATCAGGTTTGATTAGAAACCTACTGGAGATGCTCCTGCCACTCTGTGCTCCATCTCAGAGGTTCACAGTACCAGAGTCCCTCTCTTAATTGACTTTCCTTTCCCTCTCCCAGAAAAAAAGACTGGAAAAGAAAAGAAGAAGACCAAAAAGGTGACTTCTGAAGGGGATCCTGTAGCAGATGGCTCTGCTGAGGTTCACAAGAAGAAGAAGGTATGCGCAAGATCCTGGCGTGGGGTACCACAGGGAGAGCTGTTCTGAACCGCACTTGTGATGCTCTTCATGACATCATCCTCTGGAGAGGAGCAGAGCTGTGTCCTGGCCTTGCTGGCGATGCAGAGGAGGCTGCAGTTACTTGTGGCTATTCTTGAGATACCCTGCTCTGTGGTTGGTTGGGATTGGGGTGGCTCAAAGAAAGGCTTGTTCCTGTATTGCACCCCCAAGAGATCCCTTTCCCTGGAAGGGTCAAACCCAGGGGCCCTGCTGGTGGCAGAGAATCTGCCCAAGGAGGAAGTGCTCTTCTTCAGCCCTATTCATCTAGTTCTCAGCAGAAACTGGAGCGCCAGGCTTGGCAGGCTACTGCCTTCCATCCCAAGGGCTAGGAAAGGGCGCAGAGGGAGACTATCCATTCTTTGTAATGGATATGTCTCTGTAGAGATGGTAGCCAAGAAGCCTCCGTGGCTTGTGGCTTCGCTGTGTCCTTTATGTTTGTGGTGTGATGACACTGATTTATTTTTCACCCTTGTCTTTCTAGAAGAAGAAAACAGCTGAGCCTGAAGGATTGCGAGAAGGTACATGTCCTGTGGGGACTGTCAGTACCTCTGAGCAGCAGTAACCTTGGCCCAGGCTTGGGAAGACAATGTGCCCTCTGAATGCTCACTGAGTCAGCCTGGCCTTAGGTCAGAGGGCCAGGGAGTGGAGCGATGTAAGGAAAGTCACACAGCAGCGTGCTGGCTTCTCGGGATGTGTCTGACCTCAACTCTTTAGCTGCTGAGAACTGGATGTGCAGCCTGGACCTTGCTGTCCTCTGTCATCAGCAGAGGTCAGCGGCCTCTGGCACTGCCTGTCTGTCCCTGCTGAGCAGGGGGAGCTTGGAAAAGTGATGTGGAATAGATGGTGATGTTGTAGGCGCTTGGAAGTGAACCAGATGACTCTGCCCTCGCTCCGCTCAGCTGTAGGGCTGTTCTCCTCTTCCCCATCCCTAACTCTTAACTCCTCTCCCCAAAGGTACCGCATCCCTGTGATTAAGGATTTATGGGTGAAGATCACACAGCAGAGAGGAAAAGGAAGCTCATCAGGAGAATTCCAGCCTATTCTTTTTTCTTTTTAATAATAATTTATAACTTCTTTTAACTGTGACTGTTAGAGCAGAGCAGTGTAACTTTCTGCCTCCTCCTGCCCTGCTCTGGGGCCCAGAGACTTGTTTATTGCCCCTCACTCATAATGGCTCACCTGTTGCACAAGAACTGAACCCAAGGAGGCAGTTTGACCAGAGCAGAGCCAGCTTGCATAAACTGCTTTCCTCCTCGTTGACACCCACCACCTCTTCCTCATCACAGAGCTATATTTTTAAGAGAAACTTTTACCTTTTTCTTTTCTTTTCCTCTCCCCTCCTGTGATTTGTGGTGTCAGTCCTTTTGCTACTATGGAAGAGAGCTCTTGGGTTTACTTTTTATTCCAACACTGATGGTTATTGTGTCCCTGCACTGAGCAGCTGTGTCCAGCAGTTGCTCTTGGCCAAGACGGTGTCATTTTATGTGGGTTGTTGGTTTTTTTATGGAATACAAAATAAAGAAAACCAGGAGATTTTGCTTCAGCTGCTTCCAGGGGAAGGGAGGTGAGCAGGGCTGAGCAGCCGTCAGCAGAGGATGCTGCAGGCAGGAGAGCAGAGCCCAGCCTCTACCCAGGTTTGTAGGCATCACTTCATCCCCTGGGGAGAATTAACTGCTCCCTGCCTGCTCCTAAGGACAAGAAGGGCTGTTGCTCCTCAACTTTAACCCATGTGTTGTTCTTGCATGGGTTTATATGGGGTTTTTCCTTATGGAAGTGGTGCAGGTTGGCACATCACCTTGTGCAGACCCAGCCTGCTGCTCCCCTGCACCTTGTATGGGATGTGCCTGGTTTCCTCGCTTCATTCCCAGCCCTGGGGTTTAGGAGGTGAGGAACAAAGGGCCTGGAGCCCCTTGTGCTCCTCCCTCCCACTGTGGAGCCTGGCTCCATCCAGGCTCTGCTGTGAGGGCAGAGCTGTGCCTACTGCCCTCATACCAGTGCTGAGACTCACCTGAAGTGACCATGTACCATGTGTACACAGACATTGAACAACTGCTGGGCTGGGAATGTGCAAGGTCTTTGTCTGATCCTGGGTGGACGCACAGATGTCCAAGTGTCTCTGAATTGATTTTTATTGAGATTAAAAATGATCCAGGACAGTGCACACTGTTTGCAGGCACTGCCCACAAGGCTTTCTTATTCAAAAGGTTTATTGGAAATAATTAGCTTGTAAGGTCATTGATAAAGGAACTATTGGCTCTAGTCAGAAGAATCAGAAGCCCCTCACGCTCCAAGTTCAGCTCCTCTGCCCCCTTTTACCTACTGCTGAGGCTGTGCTCCGGCCTGAAGGCACAGCTGAAGGTGAATATGCATCAAAACCAAGCACTCCACAATAAATCCTTCTACCCTTGTAGTCTAACAGGGCTTCAACCTACAGGGGTCAGTTAAGAAGCTGGTGGAGGTTGTTTTGCTGCTTTTAATGTTCAGTGGAAGAAAGCATTAGTGGCGCATTCTTCAGCAGGGTGAGCTCTCTGTGTGTTGTCTGGCTGCTGCGGGATGCCCATGGGCAAAAGGGAACAGGATTTATGGGTCTGAAACAGATGAAATCATTCTCCAGCCTGCTGCTACCCACCCTGGGGGAGTGCTTTGGCTCTGGCACTGGTCCTGATGGCAGCTTGGCCTTGCAGCAAGGGAAGGGGCACAGCCGATGCCTTGAGGGGCTGGGGCACCCGCTGTTAATCGCCTTGGAAAAGCAGTGTGAGAGCAGAAATGAGATAGAGCAAAGAGACTAAACGTGAGCTGGATGCTGAAGTCTGGACAGGCAATGATGGCATCCTCTTCTAGTTGACTGGGGGGGAAAGAGGGCAGGGAGTCAGTAAGATGGCTCTAGGACCCCCCAAAGCCCAGGTTGCTTTTGCTGTGTCTCCATCACAACCTCCACCTCCCCAGCAGTGCTTTGGTGCTGCCCTGGCTCTTGGGAGTAGACATGCACCTCCCATAGCCCCCAGCCTCCTCTGCCGCAGCCCCCAGGGCTTTCCTTGTCCCGGGACTCACCTTTCTCTGCATCCACCTTGAGCATGTCCACCCCGGAAAACATCATCTCCTCCAGCTCCGGGGTGGTATGAGGGGCAGCAGTGGCAGCATCTGCAGGGGGAGGGCAGGATGTGGGTGCTGGATGCACTCAGGGCACCAGGGCAGAGCCTGCACCCACCCCATGAGCTGCAGGTTTGGGGGCAATGAGGGGGCTGATGAAAGACCTTGACCTCACACCTCAGCTTGAGCTGCAGCTACCCAAGGAGGGGCTGTGTTTAGGGACCCTCCAGCCTTAACATGCTGGCTTACCAATGAGGGATGCTCCCTACAGCTTGGGCACCCTCTGCTCTCTGTCAGCTCTCCCTAACTACACCAAAACAAGGAGCAGCATCCACAGAGGCTGCTCATTCCTCTCCTTCCCCTCCCTGGCGACCTACCCTCACAATCCAGCTCTTCCCGGGTAGCAGTGCCCTCAATCCTGGTGCCGTTTTTGTAGGAGCACCAGCAGTAGCCCGTGGAGGCATTGCACTGCTTGGGCAGGTAGTCGCCGTTCTCATCACACTGCGGCTGGAACCGACCCGGATGCACACCCCAGGAATCGGCCTCTGCCTGGCACTTAGTTAGCACTAAGGGCAACAAGAACAAAGGGGAGACGCTGTGAGTCCCCCCTCCCCGGCCCTTCTGCTGCCTGGGATCTGCAGGAGCTTCTCATCCAGAGCACGTAAATTCAACTTGGAAGGTGAAGAAGCCCCACTGTGGTGACCTAAAGCTCTAGGGCCAGCCAAGGACTGAGGATGTGGGGTGGTGCTCTGGCTTTTCAGACATTCACTCATCCCCAAAACCCTACAAGCAGCGGCTCTCTGATGTCCCAAAAGCCACCAACCAGGTGCTCCCTATGGAATGAAGAGGTCCATGACTGATTGGCCAAGGGATGGGGTTTGGTTGCCTTTGGAAAGCCCCATGGTGGCACCTACAGGGGGTGGTTGTTCCCAAAGGGCCCATCCCAACCCTCCTCAGGTCAGCAGCCCCCATCCCTGGTACCTTTCTTTGCTGGGATCTCCTTATGCTCCTCCTCTGGCTTGGGGTTCTTGGCCATCTCAAACAGCAGCCACTTGTGCATCCAAGACTCAAAGGACTGCACCAAGGGGAGAAGCACATTAACCATCACTGAGTGGGTGCACCACAGGAGAGCTGTGCATCAGGCTCCAGCTTGGGCCAAGGTGGGGACACCCCAGTCCCTCCCCAGAGCAGGCTGCTCCTCAAAGGGGATGAATAGGACAGCAGCAAGCACTGACCTTCCAGTCCACATCAGTCATGGTGCTCTTCAGCCTCTTCAGGTTGTCCATCAGGTCGTCCTTCAGCTCCGGGAACATCTTCCTGGGGTCTGCTTGCTGCAGAGCGAGCACCACAGTGAGGCAGGGCAAAGAGAAACGAGGTGGGAGGGCTGAAGCTCTGCTTATATCAGCCAGACAGACACTGCAGGGGGCCAGGAGCTCCCACCAGCTCTAAGCACCCCAATGGACCCCAAACCCAGCCAAGACACAGCAAGCTGGAAGCAAAGGGACCCATTGCCTCCTGCAGTGGAGGGGGCAGCGATGGGGTCGGTGGGGGCGCAGGGGACCTTACTAGCAGCAGGTGCTTGACTTGGTCCTCGGTTCTGTTGCTGGCCGGGGCCATGGCCTTAAGAGAAAAGGCAAAGGGGCAGCATGAGCACAAGGGCTGGCAGCGAGCCCCGGGGGCAGCGGGCAGCAGCCACGCAGTGCTCAGCATCTCTTACCACGTTGCTCACAGAGGGGACCAGGGGCAGGACCTTCATGACCATGGGGCTGTTCACCATGGCCATCTTCATCTTGTTCACTGGCCTCGCACCTACCGAGGGAGGAGCAATGAGGCGCGCCAGGGCCGGTGGTCCAGGGGGGACCCGTCCCC